AGAGAAAAGAGGGAAATTAAAAAGAAAAAAAAAAAAAAAAAAAACGGATTTACGACACGCTGGGTTACAACGGAGAAGGAACCTATACGGAGATATGTTACAATTATTTTGGCTCGATTCACCCGGGGAAGAACCATACTCGCCATCACACCGGGAAAACCCTGACTGCGGTCTGAAATTTGAACCAATTCATTTGAAAATGGGGAAGGAATGCTGTTTGTAAGCCAGCGATCACTATTCTTTCGACAAGAATCCGAAGGAGTAGAACTAAGAAAATAAAATAAACCTCGCAAGCTCCGTAACTCACGCAACTAAGACCAAAGACGCCTTTCGCTTCACTTCTGTGGCTAACGGCGAAGTCCTGCGGGAAACGTTTCTTCCCCCGCGTATTCTAATTTCTTGCTTAAAGAAACCAATCTAGATACAATCTCTCAGCTGCGCTCGTCACCAAAGAAGAAAATAATCTTTTCACACCATCACACCGCCGGAAAGAAAGATCGAACCTCGCATTCGGCATTTACACGTCCAACAATTCCTTCCACCGAAAATATTAAAGTTTTCATTAAAATCAGAATAATTTTCAATACCTCATCATGAGCAGCATCTCGCCTTGCACCAACAGATTGAATAGGTTCAGGATCAGAGACATCTTAAATTCTGCACTGTAATTCACTCAATATTACTGCACTGTGTTTGTCTGATTTCTACACCCTTTCTCTCCTACCAGAAGCAGAAAAACGTTGACGGAGAGAAACGATGAAAATGATTCAAACGAGTTCTCTAGCCAGGCGATTGAACAAATCATATTATAACATGTGTGATTCTTGGCACCCACCTACTGGAACACGAACATTGCAACGTCTGGAAAGTGGTACCAGACACGAGGAGATTGCGAATCCCCACGGTGAAAAAACAGCTTCAGATCAACTAACGATTTTGTTGTGAGGTAAAATAGGCTCAATCTTACAATAAAATCCAATAGAATTGTCCCTACCACCACACGAATGAAATCACATGAGCCCTATACAGAACCCATTGCTCAAAATCAAGAGATTAGGACTCGCGGAAATGCGCTTTGGTGGAAAAGTTGAACGCGAAAGCCGATCATGCACAGTTTCTAGATCCTCATCTCCATACTTCTTCCGGCACTGCGAGGATGGCGAAGTAGGAGGGGGGGGGGGGGTATTTGCAAAAGCGAAACGAAAGACCATGAAGAGAGGGAGAGAGAAAGACGAAGTATGGGGAAAGGAAGGGAAAAAGACAAGCGATGATTGATTAGCAGTTGCATGTGTCGTTGCGGTTCGCACCACCACGTTGGTCGTTCGTGAGCTTGATCTGGTCTGGGAACTCGTTGTAGAGCTCCACTTCGGTCTCCTGCGCCAGCGCGTTCTTGGCCACTGTCTGGAACGCCTGTTCCACGTTCACATTTTCCTTCGCGCTCGTTTCAAAGTACGGGATCCCGTTCTTCTGTTGGCACCACTGCTGGGCCCTCTTCGCGGGAACCTGTGGTCAGAAACATGAACTCTTCGTCAATAACATTTTGCACATTTTCTTTCCTGGGAATGGATCAAAAATGCATCTTGATTGTCGGGAAAATACTGTAGTACCGTAGAGATTCAACGTGGGTTATGGAAGCATAGTACAGTACAACGGATTTTTCGCACAATCGAATAGGGCTGCAAACAATTTTTGTTTCTCGTAATTAAGAATACCGAAAAAGTGATCGTCCTCCAAAAAGCTACTATGATGAATCTGGCTGCCAGCATACTTTTCAACCATACATAAACTTTCCATACATCCTCAAGGGTGTTGCCATGTTTTCTTTACTAATGAGTAATTATGTTGTAATTCGACGTACTTGAAGTCAGACATCTATTCATCAAATACGGTAATTTAATCAAACATTTGAATATAATACAGATTTCAGAAGGCTTAAAATTACTCAGCTAAGATCCGTCTTGGAGTCAGGAAACAAGCAGTCTTTCTACTAATGGACTTCCCATTGAAACAAATTCAGTCCATCAACAACGGCATAACTGTGCATTATCAAGTGAAAACGAGACAACTGAAGGGACCCGGATTTTCCATAAAAAAAAAATTGAAAGAAGGGTTCCTTCAACTTCTCTGAAGTGAAATCACGTACGAATTACGATACAGCAATAACGACAACAACAAAAGCGTGATGCAAAAAACAGCCTAAAAAAAGTCAGACGCATTCTCCAGTTTCTGCGTTCAGTTGAGATAACTTTTAAACCTATTACTTTGTAAGCAGAAATGACGTTGAAGTCTTGTAATTAGTTGTTACCATGCGATTTCTCAATCAACGATTCTCCGGGGCGTTCTAGCGAGACAAAATCAAATGCAATTTGTTATCCGAATACTGCAAATGAATGACACGAACGACAAACAAAAATCCTCCAACACAACGCATTAATTTCAGACTTAACCAACAAAATACACCTGAAATGCTAATCTATTACACCCAACTGCCGTTCAAATGAACTTTTGTGATAGATACGGAGATTATCTTCAACATTATTTGAGTTGGCATCCGGTTTTAAACCACACAGTAAACTATTACTCCACAAGCTAATCTAAAAATTGTACTGTACAGTATTATAACACCCCGACTTTCCGCAAGGCGCACAGAATCAAAGCACATTCTTTGTTAGGGCAAATACGAAAAAAATTCTTGGATAACTCGAACCTTCCGAAGTCGAATAACTCCCTATTTCGAATTTTTTGCAAGTCCGTGCCTGAATTCCCATAGAAGAAAACGTATTAAAAATCTCCCTATCTCGAAGGCTTCACCCTTCAAACCTCCATCACTATAATTTTCTGTAGACCTTTTGGCTTTTTCCTTTATTGAAACACGAAGGAGAAAAAGCAATGAAATCTTAACTTGATGTGCTTTAAAAAGAAGTGAAAAATTAATGGGGCGAATGAATCCTCGCCTCTTAAGTTCAGAATCCTGTCAACTCATTCAAGCAATGAAAGGCCCAAAATATCACCAAATACAACTTCCCATAATTCTTCCTTCTTTCCCACAAAAGAATGCTGGTTTCTCTAGGTCAAATTTTTTCTCTAGTTCCTCAGAGTTCGACTTTACAAAATGGTAAGCAGCTCACCGAACGGTTTTCCAGATCCACTTTGTTTCCAATGACGACGAAAGGGAAGTTGTCGGGGTCTCGTGGGGAAGCCTGGATGAGGAACTCGTCTCGCCAAGACTCCAGACTCTTGAAAGTATTAGGCGCAGAAACATCGTAGACGAGCACGCAACAATCTGCTCCGCGGTAAAATGCTACCCCGAGGGATTGAAACCGCTCCTGTCCTGCCGTGTCCCAGATCTGGGACGATCAAATGAAACAAAAAATAAATCTAAAATCCGTTCCGGCGACATTACCTCGGACTGCTTAGAGATAATCTTCAACTACAACCATTATTATTCCTACGACGAACCAGCCTGCGTCGTCGATTTTACTCGCAAATTTTTTTAGTGCGGGCAGATATCACCAAAAATAATAAATTTTGAGTCATTACCGAGTTAGCTTCTTACGAGTTCTTTTCGAGCATGCAGGAGAATTTCATAAGTAGCAAAACGGGTGGGTTGAATTCTGAATGGTTATTTTTTTAATGCATACAATTTCGGCCCTTTCAAGTTCATCAATCTTGACATATTGACTACGCATTTTAATGAGCTTCTACGGGCTTCCTTTCCTTACATGATTTTAAAAATACGAGTGCCACTAAGCAGTACATCGTCGGGCACTTTCCTTATCTCTAAAAAATAAGCACCACTGGCGACTAATTAGTTCATTTCAGGATAAGTTCAGAACAGGATGTGAGGTAAACATCTCTAATCCAGAGAACTACTGTTGTTCATCAAGAACAACACGTCCAGATAAGCACTTGTCGATTTCCATGAAAAATGTTTTCAAAATGTTCCTGGGCGACCAAAGGATTGCAGATGGGAACTAGTAACGAATTCTTAAAGATGATGTCTAAATATAGATATACTTGAATTCGAGCGGTAGCCAACACGACATTTAAAATTTTCACTTCGTCTACTCAAGTTTCACCTTCTTCCCGAGATACTTCCTGATGCTCATGAGCAACGTTACAGTACTACCAAGGAAAGAAAGCTCACTGGACATCCTTTTTAATTTATCTGTAGATCATGGGACTAACCTGCATCGTCACTAGCCTGTCGTCAACCATCACTTCCTTCGTGAGGAAATCCGCCCCGATAGTTGCCTTATACTGGTTGCTGAATTTCTTGTTCACGTACTGATTCATCAATGATGTCTTTCCCACCGCACTGTCACCAAGGATGATGACTTTCAGCAAAACCTTTTTCCTCGAAGACATCTCCGACACGCTTTCACTTCCACCACAACGACAATGCACTTGAACTTCAAACTTATTTCGTTTATGCAAAATTCGTCTGCGAAAAAAAAACTGTTTGAATTATTTCTTTCATGAACAATCGTTGTGAAACAACAGAACTAGAAGACGAATCTTCGCAATGTTCACACTGATCTACACGCTTACAGAAATCATACCAGCCCAAATCTCAATGTTTTCCAACATTCAAGAACGACATAAAAATAATCACATATGAATTCGACTTAGACTCGGCATACGATATTTCTGTCTTCTCGAAAAATTCAATACGTAAGAAAAAAGGGAGCACCAAAGTCACTCCATAGCAGACAAAAGCGGTTCACGGTTTTAAATTGAGTAGACGAACACTCAATTCTTATCAAGACATTCTGGGATTCATCATCACATGATCCTTGACAGTGCAACTAGTAAAAAATCTTGTCACAGCAATTCCCATTGGATCTGAAAAATTCTTCGAGCAGAGAGTAAAATAACATTGTGGCTGCATTGCAGGGGCCTGAAATTCGTTATGAGTTATTCGTTGTAACGAGATCCAACTGTACTTCGAGAAAGCTGAACAAAAATAATGCCGAACTTCTTGCTGTAAGATGTGAACGCACTTTCTTGTCGAAAACTTAGAATCGACGCGCCCCGTTGTATTCCTTTCGGCGCAAATCAGAACAAAAAATCTTGGGGAAAAGGTCAACAGAGAAGACTGTAAGAAGAAAGTGTTCTCATAACCAACACGCAATTCAGCATTCTGGAAAATCAAACAGATCAACTTAACCCAAAACACCCTAATACAGTGTGCCAAAGAAGTAACCGTGCAAATTGCAAAGGAATATATTTGAAGTGGAATAAAAGAGAACTTTACAGGCAATATTGTGGGTTCATCTTGCAGGAAATGCTCGAATATTGACAATATTTTCGAAATTTACAGACCTTACGTAATCGATATTATTATTTTATATTACATAATCGAAATTATTATTAACATCAAAGGTAGTGCTTCCAAGTAACTCGCGAAAAATAACAATTACAACGTCTCTCTGGAGGAGCTGAAAAACACAATTACGGATCACATGAACAAAATCACACTGCCGAAACCCACCAATTGTGTTCGATAATCACCATCATTGTTTACATACCTCACGCGTGGTATTTTCTGCAGGAGAAACCGAAACATGGTAAGCACTTGGAATTTTCTTCGTCTGGAAAAGATGAATAAAATATATGCCACAGCACGGTGACTTTTGATACACTCCAATAAAACTTATCTAATTTGGAAAAATGAATAAAAAAAAGAAGGTTCGAGCTACACCTAAGCAACGATCAAGGAAGTCAATGAGTCAGAGAAATTGGGCGTCCCAGTTAAAACAATCAAATTTGGTAGTGAAATCTATTAGCTTTAGTGGAAGCCCAGATTGCTGTCAGCAGTCAAAACGAAGTCAGTCTCCCAGTTTTCATATGAAGTCATCACACTGGACACAGATATGTCCTCAAAGTAGTTGTACGGCTCAGTCAAACCCGCCGCGGACACCGCAACAGCAGGTACGGGCAATTGGGCCGCAGGATCGCTTTTCGCAGGCAAACCTTCGCCGCGGTGCTTCAGCATCTTGTGTCTAGTCAACACGTCATTCCGCCCGAACGCCTTTCCGCACAGCTCGCATTTGAAACTCTTTTGATTGGAATGAGTCGTTCGAAGGTGCACATCGAGAGACGCGCGACGAGAAAAGGTTTTCGCGCACTCGGGGCAGCGGAACGTCTTGGCGTCGCTACTATGCCGCCTTTCGTGGTCCAGCAGGTGATGCGAACGAACGAACCGCATCCCGCAAATTCCGCATTCGAAGGGACGCAAACCGGAATGAATCCTTTCATGTCGCTCCAGCAAACCTGCAATAAACCTCTCTTCACTGATTCTCATCTCAAAAAAAATTTATCACATAAGATACAAGATCGATCACACACGCTCGAGGAACACTGGAAAAAACTCAAATTTAAAAAAAGTTAATTCCACGGTTGTTCTCGAATTATTGAGTGCTTTCTAGCACGGTTTCGCACGTGCAAGACAAGCTTGTATGACTCTGAAGCCTCGACTCCATGATTTTCTTTTGTATTAACTGGGTATTGTAGGTTGGGTGAAGTCAAATTCTAGATTAGCTTGGTCCACCTTAGTTTGACCTTGAGTATTTGAAATTAGCTGAACTTTTAAAAATAAAATTCGGAGAGAAGTTTAGAAGCAACATCTGTCGCTCTTTACTGAAATGAAGAGTAGACGTTTGAAAAAGTCATAAGTAACAGGCTAACAATGTAACGGCATTCCGTTTTGAAGACTGATACTTGACAATACCCAGAGTACCTTTAATGACGAATGTCATCAAAACTGCTCGACGAATAAGGCACGCGCACATTCTGGAACTCAACAGAATATCTTCAGACTGAATTTCTGAAAATTCGGTCATACATTTGAAAGCGAGCAGATTTACGCACCAGCAGTTTTGAACATCTTCCCACAGGTTGCGCAACTGTGACTAGACTTGGAACTCCGTTTGGGTGCGTCACGTTCCTTGATGACGTTCGTCGCTGGGAAAAGATCGTCGGTTAGCTGAGGGAGTGGAAAGTCCAGCACTGATGGATCACACGGTACAGCATCAGCAGCAGTAGAGCCATCATCATATGAATATTCTTCGTACCAGCTCAAGTTAAGACCCAACGCCGTCGACGCTTCGATCACACCCCGCTGGGACTCGAGAGAAACGCACGACAGGCCGAGGTAAATCAACGACAACATAGAAATCACATCTTGCACGTTAGATTCCGGGAGGAATATGTGGATGTCTTCGCCGTCTTCTGCTAAATCCAGCATAGCTTCCTAGACAAAATATTTTAGAGAAGTCCACTTAGTTCAGAACCCTTCCACACTTCATGAAATCACTTCCACTAGAAAGAAAGAAACACAACTCACTTTCAAGCAAGGCGAAGCGGCGGAAAGAATAGCGCGATGTGATTTAACCGTTCCATCACAACATACGATCACAGTATCAGTCATCTCATAGGTCCGCCAGATTTCCTCCAACACACTCAAAGACTTCATCGCTAGGCCGAATAACACAGTGAATTTTCAATCACAGTTACAAAGCAGAACAAGGAACGCATTGAGCACATTCTAATGGGGACGACGGCACTGGAACACATCGCAGCACCGGATCCCGTGACGATACGAGAACAGTGACTCATTCGAAAAAGTGTGTCCCTACCGAGAACTTTAGCAATAACGACATGTTATCAAACACCCGCACTTTAAAATAGTTACAATTTTCAGCACTGTTCAGATTCAGATTCATTATTGTGCGACGCGGACTTGCCCCTGAAAGAGAAAAATTGTGATTTTCTGAGGAACTTTGAAATAAAATAAACATTTTCGACTGCCACGCATCACATCATTAGTCAGCAATTCTTCACGACCTCTCAACAAAAAAGTATAAAAAAGAAAAACGCGAAGAATACGAAGACCGAGATCAACCGTCGGATCCCCTTAACAAAACCTGATTCCTTCTGCGGGAACACTTTCCATTATTCCAGAATCCACAAGACGTTGATACCGGACAATCCCAGATTGACTCTGCCCAACATGCCCTTGTTCTGAGTTTTGACGTGATGTAGAAACAGAAGGATCGTATGCAGCAAATTATTGCGCCCCTGGAAAAATTAAGAGAAAGCATAACATGTGCGTTCACAAACAATTTTGGCGGTTTCGTCAATGAAATACTCATTCATTGCGTGCCTTTTCAGACTGCTTCATCACGTTTTAAAAATGCTAGAAGTCCTAATTCGACCTCAGCGCGTCAGACCAATAGTCGACAAGGGTCCAATGTATCCATTTTCTCGAGAAGAAATAGGACTACGAAGAATTCTGCGCTTCTATTCAAGTGGCGTTTTCTTCAGGAAAAATTACTAGAGCGCCGAATTCAGGATTGAGAGAGAGAGTAGTGCTGGAAAAACACATGAAAGTGTGACACCTTATAATCCACAGAAGCAAGGGTTTTTGATAAAGTCAAATTTAGCACTGACAAGTACTGTATTTGAATGCTAACAATTCCTCAATCACGGACAAAAACCATCATTTTTTAAGGAAACCAATAGGATAATGATCCTTATTTTGTTTTTAAAAATTCGAAATCGTTTGCTCGGAGGTGCGGAAAAATTTGTTTGAATCGTCGACCATGACACTTTTCTATTCAACCCGATAACTAAATCATAATTATTTCTGATGCATCAGTTATTCCAAAATTGCGCTGGTATAACAAGCATTCATGCATTTCCACGATTAATGCATTAACTCCCTGCGTAAGTTCCGCACATTTCGTAGCTTTCCAGGCATGGCAGAATAGCTTATAAAAAGCATGACACAGGTTCACAAAAGTTGACTACAATCTTTCGATGAATTATACCTTAGATTCAGCTTCAATATTGGGGTATTAAGTACGGCTTATCATGTGGCAGACATTGAGTGTGCTTTTTGAGTCAAAAGGTGAAGAACGAATCAGCATTTTACAATACTGGTTAGACTGTCAATGAAGAAAAAAAACGCGGGAAAACGATGGACAGCACAAACCTTAGATGCTTCGCAAACTTCTCCCTTGAAGACGAACACGAAATGCGGGGGAGAGATTTCAGCCTGGCAGATCACAGGAATGTCCCGCAGCGACTCCGGAAGCACAACAGATCCCACGCTTGTCTGGACCTTGAACGAACCCTCGAGAACCGTCGTTGGCCACCCACTGACGGGTTTTTTTATAAAATGTCGGAAAGAAAACGGCCGCGGAGAATCGAACGTGACCAGAGGCAAGTGGACGTCGAAGTAGGACGCAAATAAATGCATCAAGATCTGCGGAAATGAAAATTCCGTTCGAATTGACTCACACTCTTTAATCACTACCTTACACGTGACTCATTAAAAAAACTGCACTACAGCAATGCGCAATGACAAATTTTGTTTCAATTGCCGATGCCCAGAAATTAACTTCAACTTACCGCAGCATCCGTCGGTAGATGATCACCCCATGGCTTTCCCTCGAAAGATTCGCCGGAATTCCATTTGAAATCTCCCAAGTATCCTTTTCGAGCAAGTGCTATTTAAGCAAAGTTGAACATGATACTACTTAGAATAACTCGTGGATAACATTGGGCGATCGTTTTTACTGCATCGGTGCAGTAAACTTAGAAATTTTTTTCTCAAGTTAACTCACACGCAAATCGTTTGACAAGATAAGCCTGATTGTGATGGGCCTCGAGGAACGGGATTAATGTGTGCAATTGCGAATAATCCATAAAGCCTGTTGGCATTCCAGGAATTCCAGAAACTGAAACAGCGGCAATCTGATTCAAGCTCATGGCTCCGATTCGAACGCTATCTCCTGAGCCAAGTCCCTGCAAATGTTCATTCACTGCTTCGATTTCCTTGTTGACAGGTCTAACGACTGTTTCCGATATCCACTGAAACAATATAGTACATGGAAGTGAGATTACAGTTTATGAAAACAAGACTCACGAAAAACGCTCGCAGCATTCAGTTTTCGAGCTGTAACGCGAAAATCGAGTAAAACTACTCGAGAAACATTTGCACGAAGTACAGTATTTGTGAAAATTCTTAGTATTACAACCATTGAAGAAAATCACATTGATGTTAGTGATAGTAAAGTTTCACAAAATTGAAAAAAGGTGTCCATGCTCATGCCAAGTTTCTGAAAGATTCAAAAAGGTCTACTGATCATTAAAAAAATGAGAGCTCAATTTCTAAATACTGTACAGTATGTCCAATGTGGTAGCGCTGAAAGATTTGATCGGGTTTCCACGTTTACTTGCACAAAATTGAACACTGAAGTTAACCTGAAACACAACACGGTATCTCCAATATGTAATTCGCTCAATTATAATTCCAAGGTTAGTTAAACACAAGATACATCGATTCGTTTGGAGACTAATACGGCTCATTTAATGCATGGGTGATATTTTTAGAGAAAATAATTCTACGGATAGAACAAAACTGACGCACTTTTCTCAAATTTTCAGACCAAATATCCAGCTTCTCTGGACTGATTCCCAATTTCCTCCTTGCAAAAACGACCATGTGTAAACTGGACGCCGACGAGGTCTTCTCATCACCAAGACCCGTTGCTCCAGGAGTCGAACCTATCAATGAAATATTCGGCCATAGAACGAGATACTAACATCTCGCGATTCTGCGCGTTTACTCCACAGAAAAATCGACAATGGAATAAGGGTTGAATACTGTATCGATGAACGAGAAATACGAACTCACTAGAAGTTGGGGCAAGTTGGTACGTGTACCGTTTTGGAGGGGTCGATTCCTGGAGATCCGCCGCCTTCTGCATGAATGACTCACTCGAATTTCTCGCAGCGCTAAAAAAACCAGCTGCAGAAGAAAATAATGAACTATGACTAATCGCGAAATACTATATAATTTCTCTGCGGGTATTTACGTCGCAAAACTAGCAATAGGAAAGAAAACCTCGACCGAAAACAATGCAATTACTGGAAATTTCCAGAACTCTTCCATTAATAAAAGCACCGAAGATAATTGACAGGATTCAGAACATTTGAAAATTTCAATTCAAAGGCAATCGAAGTGGGAGGATCAACGATCCCTAATTTCCTTGGCGTCTCCCCAAAAATGAAATACGTATACATATAGTACATCGAGTAATTTTTTTATATTTTTCATTGTTCGTAAGTGCAAAAAGACTTATTCTAGGAAAATTCCATGGAGTGATCTGGGGAATATAGATCAAATTATCACATTAAAAAATACAAAAAGCACGAATACTGAGCAGCAGAATTTAGAATAGCATCCTGAAGTCATTTCCAAAAACATTTTACTGATGACCAATCGCTCGGACCTAAAATCCGTTGCTCCGGAATTGAAAATTCGAAAGAAACACTTTTCGAAATCAATTAAAATGATGCTGATTAAAGCTAATAAAAAAACGAGGTGTCTGAAAATGTCGCTGGAATTTATAGCAGTGTCATATTCCCGGAGATGCAGGTAGAATAAAGAATATACAGTATACAAACCGGTAGTATTCCATTGCGGCTCCTTATCCAAAAATTTTGTCAGCTCGGTTCCTGAAGAAATAAACTCAGCAGGCTCAAAAATATCCCGCTTTCGCATCGATTCGCGTTCCCTCTTCATTCTTTCTTCAAATTCAGTCGTCGGCGATACCTATTGACCGTTTGAAAAGCATTTACCCAGGCTACCGAGATTCCAACGAAGAAAACGTCGAAGGATAGGAATGAAAAAATACTTACAAACGCGGACTCGCTTTTCGGGGAACTAGGAGCAACAGGGGAAGAATCGCTCAAATAAAATGATGGGCGATTTTCCGAAACGGAGAAAGAAGACCACGGAGACGAACGCGTCCCTGTGAAATTTGGAAGAGAATCCCACTCAGTGTAACCAATTAGTTCCTTCCTTTTAAGACACACGCATTCCTAATCGTTTTGCGAGAAAAATTCATAAAGTCCTCTATACGACCTTTACTGAAATGACCAACCCCAACACAACATTAATTTTGATTTTTGAGTAATGCTTACATAATCAATAATTGTTTCAAGAAACTTCATTTGATACTTTCGGGGAAAACAACCCATCCCATTTTCGCGTAGATGCCGGCAATACAAAAAAAATTCTTTGTTTTGCCTTCATCCACTTTGAAAACCAATTCGAGCTCAAAATATTGTGCAGTGAAGTTTTGAATTAGGATTCCGGCCGTTTCGGAGTTTGTGGCGTTACGATCAGATGAGAAACATGAAAAAAATCCCAATGAACTACGTACGAAGAAACTATCCTCATTAAGCGGAAACAAAAATAATTCGAATTACTGCATTATGAAACGTACAGTACCTGAAGATGCAGAGGACATCCAGCTGGCTGCAGACAAATTCATCGGGGTCACAGAGCCACTCCCAACAGACGCGTTCGGAGAAGACGATATCAATCGAGGTTTGGATGGCGACTGAGTCTGCCGAGGAGATTCGGCTTGCGGTGTTAACAGATCAAATCCTGCTTCTACGTGCAAAAAAAATAATAAATTGAAAAAAATTCAAAACCATGGGCGGAAATGAGAACCTTTCACAGTAAATTGCAGAAAAAATAAACTAGAGCGACACTTCCCCGGTGCCTCTCTAGTAGAACTTGTGAGCATAAATGTTAAAAAAATTATCTGGCACTAACTTTAAAGCAGTTAACAAGCTTTCCTACATCAAATAATCGAAGTCCAGCAAGCCAAATATCCGCCTGAAAAACTTAAGGATATTCTCAATTTCTTTCGGTTGTTTTTTTCACGGGAATTGATGATCGCGCTTTCTGAAAACCCACACAGCTGTAAACTAATCTACCCACGGTGAACAGAGAATGACCGAATACAAATGGAATCAACCCTCATACGCAACCAAACCTAACTTGAACCTAAATCAAAGCTCACGAAGTCAACTTAAGATGTTCGAGAAAAGATAGACGTCGGTAACACGGAGAGATAAAACTTTTCTTCTTTTTTTTTTGCGATGATAATACAGTATAATTATTGCTACTGAATTCAATAATCACTCTTCCGCGAGCTCAAATGCTGAACACGGTTATACAGAACTGCTCAGATGTTAGAAGACGAACCTCCTTTCTGGATTCCAAGCAAGTTCATCTGCTTCTCGGTGAGCTTCAGTGCAGGATAACCCAAACGAGGACGAATGAACTTGTAGGTGTTCAGACAGCAATGCAACAGCATTACAGCAAGCAACCCGTATTCAGTGTAACGCCATCCCTGACTCCCCCAACTTTCGCTTTCCAAATCGTGGAAAAGACATCGGCACGAATTCCATTTCGTTCTGCAATCGAAAAGCAAATTTGTCAGTCATACATTTTTACTGAATCGGTTGCGTTCTTCAGCTTATATCAAATTATATTTATAACCGACCAAGAGGCCGAAGTACGAGCAGTAATACAGCATAATCTTTAAAAATGTCATTATTCGTTTGTTCTGACGCTGAAAAGATAGAATATTTAAAAAAATAATTACATGTAAAAATGAATGGGGTATGTAACTATCACAGATTTAATTTGTTCCGTTTTTCGGCCCACCTTGAAATTTTGCACTTGTCGCCAGAATCATTCAGCGGAAAGAAAATACTCAGAGCAAGTTTGCATCAACGTGATCCAAGTCAATTTGATTTAACCATAACCAATAGTATCTAGCACAACATAACGTAACTTCAATTCAAAGAAAGGTAACAAAATGAAGGAGACACTTGTATAATAACTAAGAAAATCGCGCAGTCGCAGAACATCGCGCATTATACTGTATTGGAAAGGATTATTTCGTCAAGATTTCCATAAAATCAGTTGACGCATGCATTGTACTCACAAATCCACGTAAAAGAAGGCAGCGGCTCCCAAGTAGATCAGTGCCCAAAACAGATACTTGGGAGATTCCTTCACAGCAAACTTACGCGAAACAACTTGTTCAACAGTGTTCGAATGCACGAAACTAGCCATATTCTCTGCAGCCAGATACAAATGAGATTATCTCGGACGAAATTACGAACGTCAAACACGCGACGGCAAACCCGACAATGAAGACATACAATCCGACTTCAATAACATGAACTACTTCAGAATTCCGTACGAACAAGCCTGAAATAAAAGAAAATTTGAGCACAATTTATAAATCACAAGGAAAACCAAATTACGAAAGTCGGAGCTACAGCGATAAGATTCTCAAAACATTTTTTGATCCATGGATTTGAAAAATCTCTCGGGGAAACAAACTTTTTTATATAAAATCCGAAGAAAACGGTAAAAAAAATTATTTCAAAAGGAACGCAGCTTATCGACGTTTCCGGAACGTTCTTGGAACTACGCCGCGATTCAACGTCGAGTGAACAGACTCCGATCGGTTAGGAGAAAGGATTTCCCCTGGAGACACGGCAAAAAAATGAGGCGCGTCGTCCATGATGCAAGAAGGCATAGACAGAACGCCAACGCAAAAGCAATTTACACTTTTCAACGTTTTCGGCAGGAGCGGCGTAATTACGTAAAAGCATTTTTCCGTCGGATCCACAGCTCTCACAAACCCTACAAAATGGACGTCGAAAAATCTTCAACAACAATCTTCAGCTATTATTCTTTCATTCCGGAATATAAATCAAAAGTGCAATGGTAATGTACCAAGCGCATTTTTTTTCTGAAAATTGAGAGGAAAAGGGTGGGTTAAGGGGGGGGGGGGGGGGGTTGCGCGTCACGGACAGAGATAATATGTCAGAAATTTAAGTGTGAGTTACACTGCGAGTATACAGTACTGTACTCGGAAATTTTTCATAGACATTTTTAAAATCCCAACAAAAAAATTTAATTTAGGTTGAATTCATATCCAAATTTCAATTATGACGTCGCTTTTTTTTTAAATATTGCAGTTCTTCATTCACATTAAAAAATTGGGGTGCATGTCTTGCATGAGAGCGCGTGGTACTGGAGTTAATATGGTATTTTCAACTTACCAAATCCAAGGCAACTTGGCAAAGTACTCGACTTCACACTTCGCGGATGAGACGTATCAATTGGCAATAGGAGTCTTTCCTTGGGGACGGTACACAACGCAACAAGATTTCCCACGACTAGGTTCAGTATCTCACGCATGGGAAGAGATGTGTGACAGGACTTGATCGCGACAGCTTTCCAAGGCACCCTACATTCGAAGTATGCAGTCATCATATGAATTTTAGTACAAGATTTGTTCGTCTATTTTTCGGTTAAAATTACCTATAAGGCGCCACAGCGTTTAGTGGTTCCGGTTTAGCAATTCCGGGCTGTAGTTGGCTAAAGTACGCCAGACTCATCAATTCTCTTGATACAGGAGCACGGATTCTAAGAAAATAAGATGCATAAGGAAAAACTTGCAATAACTTCAGAATTACTGTACATAGTAACCGACGAACACTAACGATTTGATGGCTATGACAAGATACTAGAGCCGGATAAACACGGAGATCTGAACAACTCAAGCGTTCGGAACATCACACGCGGTACAAAAAGTTCAATGAACACAAATAAATTTAATACAATCCTTGAAATATCTTTCGAGTGGATGAAGCTCCATTATCGGTTATTTTTCAACATTATTGGTCATTTTTCAATTTTAGTGTTATTTTTCAACACCATGAAGATCCCGGAGCACACTAATATGCCCGGTTACTGGAACGAAATCTGTTTAATAACAATGAGGCTACTCATGATGAGCACCCATGGCAGCTTTCACGAGGTTCAGTCACAGAATCTCTGCTTTGTTCTTCTCGAGAAAACTATAAATGGGTATCAGTGATGAACCTGTGTTTCGGAACCAACAATTATAATTTTACTAGTAGAATACAAAAACATGGTTGTCAACCTTTCCAAGGTGACGTCAATAACTGATAATGTGAGATTGTTCAAGTACCGTAAACTCTAAATCCTGCAGGAAAATCAACCCCACTGAAGACAGGATCGTGAAAAAGTGAAAATCATCAATCAAGTTGACAACGAACCCTTCTAGAGATCTGACATTACTCTCCGACTCCGCTTGACTGGCGAGATGAACCAGGGTGAACTTCTTCGGAACTTCCGACGTATCAGGTAACGGGAAACCCGTATCATGCTTCCAAACGAAGTCGTTCTGCATGCCAGGCAAATTGTGCGTTGTATTCATACTTGCGAGCTGGGCCACCACGGTAGGTTTTACTGCTCGGATTATCTCCACAAGTAGATCAATACCCATGCCTGTCAAGCAAATTGAATAATCACATAATCCCATGCACGGGAAGTACAGTGCACCTCGATTAAAAGTACTTTTCTTTCTAATTTACCATACCAGTTAAGAACTGTACTTCAAGTAACTGATTTCATGGGAGAAGTTCAACTTTCTTCGCGCTTTAAAATATTAAAAATCTCGAATACTTCGGACTTCGTATAGAATCCTTCGAATGGGGTTCGAATAATCGATTGTATTGGGTGAATTTCAACATTTATGGACACGAAAATCATAAATAAATCCTTGTTAGTACAGTACAGCAATGCTCATAATAAATCAAGACTTGAATAGAACTGGAGATGTCTGAGTTTAAAATAGTAACGTACGCGAGTCACTGAAATGTACTCTTACGACTCGTGTGAAGGACAACGCAGACACATTCTGTTTGATACTGTTGTTTTTTCTTTACTGCAATTCTGGGAACGAAGTCGCAATTTTTTTGGCAACCTAATACTGTACCATTGAAATTAATTTTCAGGATACAAAGACGAGGAAACAAATTCAAGAGCCAAAAATGTACCTCTCGTCCAACCCATGGTATTAACAAATACAATTGCTCCTTTGTATTCGTCTCCTCGCTCCATGAATGCCAGAAGCTTCCGGATGGCATTCAAATAGTCATCCGGACAATAAACGACGCTCAGGTGTCCCAAGAAAAAGGATCTAATTCGGAACGTAATTGCAATTACGATGCAATCATACAGTTGCAGCAACACTTACTTGACTGTTTTCATGCAATGTGAAAACGCAGGACCAAAAAAGGATTTCGTGATTTCCACCAAAGAAACTGTCCCCGATAAGGTAAATTCGGATTGGCCCGGATCACAGTCAAGATACAATACGCGTTTATCTGACGGTCGATTTTTGGATGTTAAAGCCAAATTTGCTAGATGTCGGAGCACCGTGGACTTCCCCGTTCCTTTGCCACCACAGACCAAAACAATACCTCCCCCTACAAATAATGAAGTCAAAAATATTGTGCAACGACGTTAAGAAAATCACATCGAATAAACGGGCTTTAAATGAAAATTAGGAGGGCTTGATGATACTTTTTGTCACCATTTAGTTCCCATCAATAAAGAAGGACCAAATTCGCATCGGAGAAATAATCGATCAGATGTAAACCTAAAGGCAATTCATCGCACATTCCGAATAAAATGGAGAAGCAAAGTCACCACATTTCCGCATAGAACGAAGGTCCATTGTCTCGCCAGCATTTTTCATTACAAGTGGTCCATGATACACCCAATATTCAAAAATTACTAATTACTGTAGTTTCAGACATTAAACTATGTGACAATGGAAAATCTTTCAAAGACATCTGGAGATTTTGGTGGAAGCGGAAAATTCGGGCTGCAATCGAACAAACTCATTCGCAAAAGAGTGATGACTTTCATTAATTCTTCGCATTGCTCTCTCCTGCGTTTTGAAGTAATCAAATCGTGATTTCGATAGGTGGGTGACTTCCGGTCTTCCCGAATGGAAAATTTTAACCTTCATTTTGAAACTAGAATACTGGATTCCAAGATTCCAAAACCAACTTGGTCAGTAGGAAATTTAACAGAACAAAATTCAAATTAAGTGATGAAATTATGAAGAATACTGTTTTGTCATCGTGTCAAGTTCAAAAAGACCTCTCGCAGTAATTAATACCAATACTGATAACAATTTTGAACCAGGTTTCGAACATCAGTATAAAATATTTCGTTAATCTTCATTTTCTCACCCTGCACAATAAGGAATACTGTACTCACGTTTGATTATGTCGGATGGATCCAAGACAGTAGTTCTCAAAAAGTCTGTGTCCTGCTCGATTAAACGAAGCTGGTAATCCTTGAAAACTCGTTTCTGTTTTCGGTACAACCCCACGCAGCTGATGAAGTTGAGATTTCCGAACGTGGTTTTTCCCGCTGTTACGAGCTGCTGATTGAGACCGAGCACAGAGGGGAAGTAGTGCTGAACGTGCTTTGCAAGACTGTTTTGCAAACCCCGCAAAATGAGAACAACATCTTGCGGATGACACTTGAACTCACGAGATTCTAACTTCGTTAAGGTTGCGCTATCCACCTCTTTTGTACCTTTGATTTCAAGGGCCAGAACTCCGTACGTGCGAGATGAGTAAACAGAATGAAACTCTGGACCGGGTCGCAGTTCTGCTCCCATCAATCCCACCGTTCCTTTCACAACACGCACGCCATAGTTGCCAACGATGTAGAAGGGCTGCCGCAGTTGAAGCACCAATACACAATGATGCAAATGCGGATAATCAGGTATGATCAAGGGACGGGGTTGATAACCTTCCGCCGTGTCTTCTTCGTCCGACAAATTCACTATCTCGTGATTCTCGAAGTCGTTTCCTTCAAGTTCTTCTTCGTGGTACGATGATTCTTCTGCTTCACATTCATCGAAATCATTTTCTTCATCACTCTCACTTTTGAGCTCCACAACATCTGAATCACTTCCATCCGCATCGACTTTTGCAGCAACTTCTGCGGGAACTTCCTCATCCGACAGCAAAAGTTGGTCTGCATGTTCTGCATCTTCGGCTTCGATTTCTTTTTCTGCGGACTCTTGCTCTCCTTGGGCTTCGGCGGAAATTTCATCGAGATCAATGAGTTCATCTCCATCAGTCTTTTGCTTTTTCGAAGAATCTTCGATTTCTTCTCCCATGCGTTTCTGAGGCTTCTTTGGAGATTTCTTCGAGGGTACAGGTGTGCCATTCACTTTTTCCGTATCCCCATTCATGCTTAACCGCTCTAATTTAGATGCAATCCAAGAGGATCTCGCATTTAGGAACAAATGGATTGAACACCCTCTCAGATGAAACAAAAAGTTGCATTCGTCAAAACGAAACCTGAAGAATGCATTCAAAAAGGAATTAATAATAAATGACCCAAGCGCATGTCACAGGATATGAGGTAATAAGCCCAACAATCAATCAATCATGAGGACGAATAATTTTATTCGTCCTCATCCTACCGATTCAACGCTTCAGACATGCGAAGACTTTCGTTTCGAGTAGAAAAACTTCGGTTCATATAACAATGCAGACGAACAAACTGTGAAGACATACATCAGAATCACCAGGGACTCTAACCTCGTGAGAACGGCGAGGAATGGAAGCTAAATTGAAGAACAAACTTCAAATTTCACAACCGACTTTTCCATTACCGTCACATTCAGAACCCAAACCCCTTCATCCAATATTGAAAGGCGTAATGTGCCACCCCGAATTGAACCTACTGTTCGAAGAAACCGTTGGCTCTGTTAAACTCGACTTCGAGAAGTCTGAATGCACACACAAACCTAGCCCCACCCTTCATCAAAAACTGCATTCGATTTCATTCGGACAACGCGCTGCCCTTCGTCTCAACCAACGTACTGTACATCCAAAATTGCGCAACCACACGGGAAACCGAATGCATCTACATTTCTAGGGAGATTGAGCTTCCGCCCGAATCCGAAGCTGGTACTGGCACAAGGAGGACGCAGCATGCATGCCAACTACACACTTCTGTACCATGCATCTACCTTACCGGAATCTGATGTGTAGTGGGGCTCCACTGCAACAGACTTCCTTAGACATGGCGTATACAGTACTGTATTCTGTATAGCGGAATTGTTCATCAATCATCACACAGTATGAAGTCACTTTTCCTTGGGAGTATATTGTACAGTAATTGAAATAGCATCCATCCTAAAAATATAATTACTTATCTGAAAGATGGAAAATGTCGCATTTTCACAAGAATTGAAAGGTTCACCCTCTCAAATGATTTACACAATTGCAATATACATAAATTGCATTTTTATGCATGGTCAATAAGACATATTGACATACATGAATATTATACTGAATGTTTATACTAACAAAGCACATGCTGGTGGTTTAAAAAATCTTTTGTGAGACAGATTCGATCACTTCAATCCTGACTTATATTCTCAACTCAAAAATATTTTCCGCCTACACTTGCTGAAGGAATCCCGCCAGCGTAAATTAGGTTGTACAGTACAGCATAAAAGAAAAATCAGCTGACATCAATGCAAGAAGAAGTTGAATTCCCCCCCGTACAGTAGAAGTCAGCGGTGGACCCCTTCGTCAGCATACCAACTCTGCGTAGTTTTGATTCGATCTCTTCTGACAGATGTCAATGGTATCTTCTTGTCATGGCGGCGCCCTGTCTGTCATCTCATGCATACGAGTGAGCAACACTGGTTCCAAAATGGACGATGCCATGAGATGCTATTTGTGGTACGTAATAAAGTTATACTTTACGGTGTATTGATTTTGACGGTTTTAGGGGAAGTTGATCCGTTGTTTTCATTTGTTGATGTGCATGTGTTCTCATTGATAAATTACGATACCGTGGAGAACGTGCTTCGTTGCGTATAGTTTTCGGTTGTGCAAGCGTGAGGGTGGAGCTGCGTCACGAATGGAAGTTCTGGTTTTCAGGCTTCGTCGTTACGCTTTGATATCTCTTATCGTATGAACGTGCCGAGAACATGTCAGACGCTGAGGGAGAACCGTCTGTACCTCCAACGTTGGAAGTAGAAGAGAATGGTACGATTCGTTGTGTGAGATGTAACATGATATTCAAAAGAAATTGCGTTTTCAGCGAAAGCAAAGCCTCCACCAAAGAAGCGGCGCACCGATCCTGTGGAAGCTACCGAAGATTCTTCGGGGGAAGGCGTCAAAAAACCCCGTGCGAAGAGAAAGCATCGTAAGTTAACGTACGCTATGTCTCCGATGTCGACTGCGGAATTAATATTGGAAGCTTTGGGAACCTTGCCTGACGAACATGGTGTGTCCGTTTCCGCACTGAAACACCACATTTTGTTGAGTGGGGAAGTAGGCCCAACGAAAATACAATCATTAATGCGCCGTTCAATTAAAAAGCTACTTGCAAACGGAGAGATTGCTCGTCCTCAAGGATTCCGTGGCTCCGATTCCCAAGTTTTGGTTGGGTCATACGTTCTCAAATCGCGCGAAAATCAGGTTTCTGTGAAAGCGCGACCTATTGTAGGTTCCGGCGGTGAAGGAGAACCGGATTATGAAGAGATCGACTTCAGTGACGATGATGATAAACCCACTCGGAAACGTCGTCGAGTGATGAAGAAACCGAAGGCTGTCACGGGCAAGAAGAAGGGAAGACCACCGAAGCTCGTCGAGCCGACGGAAGATCCATTGAGGCAAGTTCCGCCTAAAAAGCGGGCATCGAAGGCTGCTGTTCCGGGGAAGCGTAAGCGGGGCCGACCGGCTACCAAGCGTCCAACGTCCGATGATGAAGCCTCTGATTCATTTTTGGATGATGACGAACGTCCGCAGTCAACGCGAGGCACCACCAGATCTCCGAGAAAAACTTACACGGAGGAGTCGGACGAAGATTATGATGATGAAGTTGTTGAGAAGATCATTACACCTCGAAAAATAATTCATAAGGTGAGGAGACTTTTCTATTTTCCAATTTCCTCACTGGAATCAACCATTGCGTACGTGTGGTGCTTGAGGAGCTCCTAGTTGTCCGAACATGATTCTTTTATGCCGAAGAATGCGAGTTGGAACGAAATGGCCAACTGACTTTATTTGTTAGCCCTGTCAAGTGCTAGTTCTGGCTTCTAGTTCTGTCAAGTGCTAGTGCTGTCTCACAGTACTATATTGGTCCGTTTTTATTTGTATTTATTTATTTTATTTTTTTCTTATATATATATACCAAACCTCATGAAAATTCTTGAATTTCCTAACGAAGTACAGTATCATGAATGTTTTCCATTGTCATTTGTAATTAGCGTATTGACGTACGTGACAATACGGTATTTCCAATTGATACAATGCATTCAGAATTGAGATTTGTCGGCAATATCTTGAATATTCGTCTTAAAATCGTGTATTCTTAAATAATGAAAAAATGCCTTGAAGTGAATTACTTTTTGATTAATATTTTGGATGATTGATTCCACCAACAAACTTCAGTAGGGGTATCGTTTTTCTGCAATGAAAGTACTACTGTAGTATCCTTCTGAGTTTATTCTAAGGAGGTCCAGAAGGGCCAACTCTTGCACCAGGACCGTACGTTTGAAGCACTTCGTAATGACTTGGCAAAACCGGCTGCCTTGTTTTAATTTTTCAGTGTTGAGATTAATAGTTCAGTCGAATAATATGAGAAGATAATTCACCAAGATATTCCGTTTGGATATTTGTATGGTTTCGGAAGTATTCCTTATCGAATGAAATCGTCGTCTGACGAGGAATTTATTAAAATTCTCAATTTTTTAAAAATCCGCCAGCAGTCGACCGGTCGTCACTTCTCGTAGCGCAAAGATTAAACTTGGTGAAATACTCGTACAGTGAAATGTACCGCACCGTCGTGGCCTGACTTTTTTGGAGACATGGAGTTTAAGAAGTGTGAAGTCTTTTTCCTGTTTCACTCATTTTCGTTTAAGGTTGGGCAGAAAAAGCCGGGGAGACCCAAGAAATCGGAAGTGGCCAGCGACAAACCGGCCGTGCCAAAAGTTCCAGGGAAACGCGGTCCGAAGCCGAAAGCCGCCTCTGCGGGAGTGGCTGCCGTCAAACAGGCCGAGACGGAAAACGGCCGCAATGAAAACGCCGCTCGTGGCGCTCGGAGCGGGGTACGCAAAATGACTTACGCAGAAATCTCAGATCCTGAATCTGATCAGGATGATGGTGAACTCAATATGAACACCATTCCCCATAGGAAAGCGAAAGTTTAAAAATGAATATCCGCGCTTCTGAAAAGTAGATGTTAGAGTTTTCGCCAATCTTTTCAAGAGATGGAACCGTCATAGGCAGACAGTTTGCTTTTTCTGGGACGGATTGGTTTGTATAACTTTTGTAATTTGAATTCAACGCCAATTTTATCATGAAAAATAGTTGTATGATCGAGCTTCTGAAGTGATCGTTGTCTTATGATGTAATTTTTAAGTTGACATAAACTGACACCGATGAATTTCCAGTTCGCGGGTGTCAGGGAATTGTGAGCATAGCCTACACTGCCCGCCAGTTATTTATTTATTTATTTTAATATACTTTGTCCCAGCGAGTGCTTAATTTTCTTCAACCTCGAATTTCTGTTCAGAATACCAAGCTATTTTTTGGACACACTCTTGGTCCCCGTTTCAGTCAGTGACAGGAATGCGATTGCATTTCTTTTTTTGGTGAAAATTTATGATTTTGGTAATGTTTTTTGCCCTGAGCGTTGGCGTGTAATTCTGTTGACATTTTTTTCTATTTTTTCTAGAGGCAAATGAGTTGCTAATCGGGGCTACTCTGTGAGAAGCTTGTTTTTTTTTAATTCCTTGATAAGTCAGTCAGAATGGTACTTCGGAGTAGAACTCAAGTAGTGTGTGTTGTCATTGTTCTAGTAAGTCACGTGACTCAGCCCGACGTAGTGGATTAAATTTGTTGCTTGGATTGTGTTCTAATGTTCGACAGAAAAGTAAGTTATGAGCATTGTTTTTTTATATCACGGAGTCGATATTTTCAGGATTAGGAATCTTTGTTTTGTGAGATTCGTGGATCTTCGGAAATTTTGGAAACTTCCGTTCATTTCGCTTGAAAGCTTTGACTCTAATGCCCAACAAGGCCAAAGCAATAGACTAAAGTAGGGGGCTTTCATTCTACGGATTGATCCTCCAGTGGAGAACAGAGGTGTGGGGAGTGCCATTCTGACGATTGCAGCAGCTTTTCTAACCTCCTGTATACCTTGAGATACATGCGCGTTTCGGAATATTGTGGAAAGCCTTTATTTTGTTTATTGCGGACTTTTTTGTTGTGTTCTCAATATTTTTGTTGCAATTTTTGTTCGAACTGAGAGAAACCGCTAAGGTACAATGTTCAACAGTTTCGTCACGTAATACTTTCTCGGACGTTTCTTGAAACTCTCGCGGCATTTTTATACGCGAACACGTGGCGGTTCGGAAAGAATTTTTAAGAGATGCAAAGAGCAATTTTTCAGTTGTATCACTTGCAAGTTCAAGGGTCGAAGTTTTTCGGAAGTATTGTATTCATGGATGAACGTGGTTGATGTGGCATGAATGTATAAAGGACGTCAGTCTTTCCAACGTATCTCAGTCCGTTCGCTTTTTTTATGGTTGATTACGGCGCGTTCTTCATACTCTTCGTTGTACAGTATTTTCAAATCATGCCATTCGTCTGCAGACTTTCTCCAATATGGTGGATTTGTACTTGGGACTTGATTTCAGCACGCAGCAAGCCAAGGCTGTCGTCATCAATCAAAAGTTTGAGCTGGTGTATGAAATCCTTGTTCCCTTCGACTCGGCTTTCCCAGAATATGGGTGAGAACTGTTGTGGAATTTTGTTACGGGAGTATCGAGAAGCAGATCGTTTTCAAGTGCATTTTTGTGGCGTGTTATTCGAATGCTAGGGTTGTCTGGTTTAGGTGCTCGACCAAGAAAAAGAGAATTGCTCATGAGTTTTGAAATTATTGTATAATTTTAGTCCCATGTTCATGCATCAATGCAGATCAACGTTTCCAGATCTGGCAGAAAATATTTTCAGTCAAAACCCAAATGCAAACGGAGCAAGGGAAGGAAAAAAAGGGGGCGAGGTTGACAATTCCCTCCTCCTCGCTTTGATAATGTTCATAAAATCTGGTGGAAACGTGTTGAACTTGACAAGGAACCAAAATTATCTTCCCTCTCGATTGCGGAACAAAGACAACCCTTGAATGAAAATACTGAATTTTATTTCCATTCTAGCTGAACTACCGTTCTTCAAAGAGATTGTCAATGAATAATTCTCAATGCTGTGGTTTTAGTATTGTATTCACTCTCTAACAGAACTCAGGGAGGCGTAATTGTGAAAGGACCCGAAGTGAAAGCACCTTGCCAGATGTGGCTAAAAGCACTTGACACCCTTATTGAGAAACTTGCTGAAATAGGACTCAAATTTGATTCGATTCGTGGGATTTCTGGAACTGCGCAAGTATGAAGAACGCACGTCTTGAAATTTTGGATAAAATCAACCTTATTTTTGCCTTCAGCAACATGGTACGGTGTATTGGAAGAAAGGGGCAGAAGATAAACTTGGGTCGATGAAATCTTCGTTGAAACTCCATGAAGCATTGGATGATGTGTTTTCTCTTGAAAATTCACCGGTGTGGATGGATTCCTCCACTACGGAACAATGCCGCGAGTTCACTGAGTTGATTGGTTCCCGACAGGTTGATTTCGATGAATATTTTCTTCCCATGTGCGTGACTTGATCAGTATTTTCAGACAGTAGCAAGTATTTCTGGGTCTCCTGCCACTGAACGTTTCTCGGGTATGCAGATCAAGAAAGTTTTTCAAACGATGCCGGAAATCTACGAAGAAACGGAGGTAATATTGATCTTCTCTCGGAACCGTTCGCCTGTCATCGTGAATGTGCCTTTTCAGAGAATCAGCATGATCAGCAGCTTCCTTGCGAGTGTTTTCCTCGGTCATTATGCACCAATCGATTTTAGCGATGGGTCTGGGATGAATATCCTGGATATCAGAAAAAAAGCTTGGTCGGAAGATTGTTTGAAGGCTAGTTTTCTTACGTTTTATATCATCGAAAGGTAAGGATATCGAAATTTTCAAGTTCTACAGGCGATTTCTCCAGAACTAGCCGGGAAACTCGGAGATCCTGTTTATTCTTGCTTGTCGCTTGGAACAATTTCCCCATATTTTGTTGAAAGATTTGGCTTCATGGCTGACTGTCAAATTATCGGATTCACTGGGGATAACCCGTCCTCGATGGCAGGTCAGAGTTCAAATAATGAAATTGAATTCAAGAAAAAAGTCATCGACGTGTCTATTTTGATTTTTGCAGATAATTCTAGTCAGATTGCATGTGCTGCGTTTTATGTGAATATGTCATCTCAATTTTTACTTTGCTATTGATGTGTGCAAAATTCAGGAAGATTTAGGCAGCATTACCGGATGAAGAAAAGTTTACAAATTATACACGTTCGTCGTTTCTGCTGCTGGCTTTTAAGGAACAGTGTTGCGACACTTGGAACATTCTGAATCCTGATATGAAAATATCGTTATACCGTACTACACTACGGTCAATGGATTCGAAAAAACGATTACAGTATTTTGGAATCTTAGCTTCCGTGATTTCGCAAAATTCTATTGATCGTATTCCTTAATCTTGCGCGGATGTCGGTTCAATACTCCAACGTGCATCAATTTTGAACTCGGGAAAATCTCTGTATGCTCGAAAGAATTTCCCACGCATGAAATATTGCTGTACTCTTGACAGGTTTGTGTTTAAGGCCGGGTGACGTTGCAGTGAGTTTGGGGACGAGTGATGTTGTATTCGCCTGGCTGGAAAACCCAATGCCGATCCTAGATGGTGGGGTGTTCTGCAGTGCCGTTGACCCGAACGCATATCTTGGATTTGTGTGGTCTGTTTTTTTGAAAATTTTTTTGTTTTGTTTTGGATGTTCAATCGGTACCTTTTCTGCCTGAAAAGCTTCAAGAATGGTTCTTTCACGCGAGAAAGATTCCGTGATTCATATGCTGATGGACTGTGGGAAACTTTCAGTCAAATGCTGAGGAAGAGTCCGCGGGGCAATGGCGGTTTAATTGGTAATGGAAACATTCGAAATTCGGTGTATTCAAAATTTAAGCTGTTCTATGAAACGTTTGGGCTGAGTGAATAATTCACTACTGCTCACTTGTGCATGCCAAGATCTGATCATGCTGTAAATGTTCGCGCGATCTAGATTCCTATGAGTCCAGGGCTGTGTTTTTCGAAATGAGACCAACGAGGTCTTACCCTTTTAGTTAGTTTTTTGAATGTTGTTCAAATACGCAAGAATCATATTCAAGGCCGGTAGTTTTTTTTTTCTCAATTTAAAGGAGAAGGCAATTCATTCAATCTGTACAGAGCATTATCGAGTATACTCCTGAACGAAATGAAACCGCTTGCCGAAAACCGTCTTCCTTTGGGTTTCATCGTTAAAAAAATCTTGACAAATTGTCGCTGATGAAAATTTTAAAATTGAGATGGTAAAGTTGTTCAAATATGTTCACCTGATTCATCATTGACTGAAATATTCCAGGTATGTTTTGGGATCAACCTGAGATCGTGCCACCAATGGCTAGAGGAGATCATAGATTTAATGAAAGAGACGAGCCTGTTGAAAAATTTGAGTCTCCAGAACAGGAGATCCGTGCCCTTGTGGAAGGTCAATTCTTGGCGAAACGAATTTACTTGGAGCGCATGGGACTGGATTTAGGTATGGCTTGATGTGTTTTCTCTCCATACTTGGAATAAAAAGTGTAATTGAGTATATTCGTGAGCTGAGCTGTATAGTAGCCGTATAATTTTTTGCTTTTTCAAAATGTTTCCGCGTGAAGAATCTTTCCCGTGTGGAGGCATTTTTGAATTTTCCGCATTTATTTTTGTCGCATTGACTTCATTTGAAGCAAGATCTGTGTTCGTCTGAATTTGCAGCAGTGGGTTTGAGGATCATTGCCACTGGTGGTGCATCAAATAATGAAGAAGTACTGCAAGTACTGGCGGATGTTTTTGAATCTCCAACGTATGTTGTGAAAGACGTGGCCTCAGGAAATTCTGCATGTCTTGGGTCTGCCTTCCGCGCGTGCTACACAGTAAGCTGCTCATCAAAATTGGATGGACGAAATGAAACAAGAAAGTATCTAGACTTCGTTGATGACCGTGTGCCTGTTCTGAAACTAGTTGCTGAGCCAAATTCAGATGCGGCTACAGTTTATGGACCGTTGATTGAAAGGTATATTGAATTAGAAAAGAAAGCTGCTCTAAAAAAACAGTGAAGCTCTGGGGGAACAAAAAAACCTATAATATTGACGGTGATAGTACTGTACTGATAGTGTGACATAAAGTGAACTGGGAATACTCCGTTATTGAAAATATTTGGTGGAAGGAATTGCTCATGAAAAAAAAAAATGTTGCAGGATAATATATTTTTTGAAAAGAAAAAAACCATGCTTGTATTTTGAGTTATTTTCCCAATGACAATTTACACGCATTTGATGGTTCCTGTGTAGCCTCATTCCCATGAAGTGTCTTTTTAAGGGAAGCGCTTTTTGGGAAGATATGCTATGTCTGAGGAGTCTGTCTGCAACTCACTTCCCAGATGTAATACTTTTGCGACACTTCCCCATGCCATGTTTTCAAATGGCGCCCTGAGACAGGACTTTAAAGTGTTGGGAGGGATAAGCTTCTGCATGATTGTTCTGCACCTGCAGAAGTCACATTGTACAGAACTTGTGGAGTACATTACAATACTGGATTCTGTAATGCGGCAGAATAGTTACAGTTATGCATAGTATTCTGTCCACTGCATCCAACCGAATTGTATTAGAGCGAGTGCTTTGTTATGCATGAACTTGCCGATCCGTCTCCAACCACTTCCACGTGTCTCTCGTCGGCCTGCTTGGTGCTCCTAGGTATTCGTAAGCATTGACCGTGTGTGAATGAGCTCCTACGTAGTTTCTGCAGAGATAATCGGTAAGACCAGAGTAGTAGATTACTCCCATGTAGCAGCGAAGCGAAGTCGAATCAGGACAAATCGGTGTGAACTGAGTTGAGTTGTGAAGTCAGGACTCGAGGGAATGCTTCTACGTAGAATCATATGAGTGTTATTTGTGGAACGTGCATTCGCGGCGTCATCAATTGTCGTCGAATGAAGTGAATTGTTTTATTTGGCGATTCCTTCTCTTGCAGGCAATTTTTTTTATTCATCATGATGAAGGCTGCGTTGGTAGTTATACTCGCGTTTATTCAAGGCAGCCTGTCCGCTGAAACGGAAGAGGCACCTGCCAGGCTTTTGATCAGCAAGAAGATTCTGAACAACTACCTTGTCGAAGGACGTGATGTCGTCGTTCAGTACGCATTGTTTAACATAGGAAAGCAGCCGGCTGTGGAAGTTCGCATGACGGATGTGAATTTCCCTACCGACGACTTCGAAATCGTAGCCGGTCATGTTACGGACGTGAAGTTTGACCGAGTCGGCCCAGGTTCTAATGTATCGTACGCAGTTGTCGTTCGCCCGAAAGCCAGCGGTTACTACAATTTCACAGTTGCTCAAGTAACCTACTTGCCTTCTGAGGGTGCCGAGAACGTAAGCACTTCGTACAGTATTTGTTAATTTCTGAGGGTTGTCGTTGATGACCTTTATGTTCAAAGGCGCGGGTTCTTCTCCCAGAAACTTTGAGTAGCCTCTGGCAACGAAATCGAGAATTTATCAAGCTTGCTTGGTGCTGAGTTGTTACCCTAACATCGTTTTCATGTGTAGATTATTTTCCAAGTTCTACGTAAGCTTCCCGGTGCGATTTTTTTAAAAGACTGTACGACGATTACGGGTTGAAATTGAATAGAGAAATTGTGGTGAAGTTGTAGTCGGAAAGTGTTGGAAGCTGATCCCGTGCCTGAACAGAAGTTAGGCCGATAAGCACTAAAATATGGTGGAAAGAAGGGTGTCATATGGCTAAATGACTTGGGAGTCATTTCGAATTCTTCCCAGATTTGTTCAGCAATTTGTGCGTCTCATTTCGAAGTCGGCTCCCGTTCAGCTTCGATTTTTGAATTTTCATCACCGAACCTCTGTTTCCCGCAGGTCCAAGTTGCTTTCAGCAGCAAGCCCGGAATGATTCCGATCTACTCGTACAAGGACTTCGATCGTCATCATTCTCCGCATTTCCTGGACTGGGCTGTTTTCGCTGTTATGTGCTTGCCGTCGATTGTTATTCCGTATATGTTGTGGTATTCATCCGCCTCGAAGTACGATAAATCTAGCAAACCTTCTAAAGTGAAAGCAAATTAAATTAACGTAATTTATATTCAGAATGTTGGATCGACTTACCTTGGTCTCAGGTGTTTTCCTTCCGTTGAATTTTGGTGTTAAATTTAGCTAAGATTGCTTTCCGGATTTTATTTTTTTGATCACCTGCCTCCGTGGTGCATTTTATTTCGTGAAACTGAAGGTGAAAGGATGTCCGCTGCGGTTGAAATAAAGCCTGCGGGATGCGTCGGAAAACTTGTGCACATCTGATTTGTACAGTCCGAAAAGAAGAACGTTCTTTAACCCGTCTTCTACAGCAGTGTTCCCCAACCCGTCGTCTGTGGACCAGTGCTGGCCTGCAGCAGCTTTTTTTCAGTCTGGGAGATTTCTCTAGGCTAATGCATTTTTCACAAGTAGCAATGAAGGACATTACATTATCTTTATTTTTAATTTTGGCAAGACAAGGGGAGTTGAAATTATCTAATAAAAAATCCATCTTGGCTCTTCTCATTATGGAACCTTGGGCAGATTTTTACCTGATTTAATAATTTTTTTATTTGAGTTCGATAAACCTTTCTTCAACCTCAACTTTACGTTTGTGAAGACATTCCACTATACAGTAGGTGCTTCACTGGATCCTGAATTAATTAAAAAAAAAAAGCAGAAGATTTTCAAATATCTGCCTTCCAAGCAACAATTTTTGAGCATGCAAAAAGTTCTTGAGAACTTGCTGGTGCTAAGAAAATTTCATGAAACTTGGCTGGCCTGCAAAACATTTTTGCATGCTGTCACGCTTTGAGTAACATTGTTGCTTTTGGTTAGAGACCTGTAAAGCAATTTTTGAGCAAGAGTTTGTCATGAAAAGAGTTATTGTATCAAGATCTTAATGTATTGAAAACTGTAAGCAATTTGGGAGACATTAATCATGTTAGTGGTTCGAAATGGAAGGAACGTTCAATCTGCCTGCCCGTGCTATCCCGAGAAAATGGGATACTGTTGTTGGTCATGGATCATTCAACGGCAGCCATCGTTCGACGATGAATGCATCAAGGTGTTCTGTGTCAGTCATGGCTAGCAGGAATAATGGGTGATAATACACATTTTAATTCATCCTTTAAAATTTTATATAAATTTACTATGATTCACAACACAGTTTTTTGAATGATCTTGCGATTGGATAATGGACAGAAATGTAACTTGTCCGCAATATGATATAGTGCCATGTCATGCAGAACATGGATGTAATTAGGATGAAAATAGAATGCAGATCGACGTTGAAAGTTAGAATCGTGTATTTGAGAATCTTTCTCGTAGTGCCAAGACAGGAAGTCATGCATTTCTGCTTTTCCGGAAGTGTCAAAAGACGAGGTTATGTGTCGTCGGTTATTTCCCGAGTTAATGAATGAAACCGGTGGAACGAGGGTGTGAGCAGTGTACTACGACGTCTTCGGCTAATACGATGGAGTACGAGAAATGTTTTGTTTGTGGGCTCGTTCGAGGAACTTCTTCCCGTGGGAAGAATCACTAGTCGGAGGGAATCTGACCATGGTGTACAGTGCCTTTTGGGATGGTTTCCCAGTTTTTGGTGTTAATCCTGCGTAAATTGTTGATTGTTGAAAATCTGAGCGTAACGTTTTGCCAGATGCAAACCAGTAGATTCAAGATTCCGCGGCGCGGCGACTTCCTCGGAGATGTAGGCTTTGTAGGGGATTCCACGTCAACCATCAGTGAACTGGATAAATCATATGCTAACCCAACCGGATATCGCAGTGAACGGTACAACGAAGTTTTGTGTGTTGAGCTCTTGTCTTGCTTTGTCCGTTCGGTTAAATAATGAGTATTATGTTTTAGGTTTATATTTTGTGACGAAGTATTTTTGTACGAGAGCTACGTTTTTGTGCCATGTTACTAACGAAGCCTGTGAAGTGTGTGTGGAGTGCCTTTGACTGAACTCATCTAGCTTGAGCAAATACTATTGCATGTATACGTTTTAAATGGATACAATGGGATAAGGTGAGAACATTTTTGCCTTGTGTCTAACCGCGAGTGCATTATCTGGGAGGTTTGTCATCAATTCTTTGCATTAGTTATCTTCCTTGGGCCTAATCGAATGAATGCTTCTCTTTCTATTGAGATCGTCTGTGCATTCTGTGGTCTCGCATTTTAATTGTAATTTATCAGACTTCTGAAAATAATCGTCCATTCTTTTTTCGCATTCGCCATCTCCGGGACATGCGTATACCGTAATGTTGAGATATATTCTTTGGAACCCCTATGTGGTTCATTGACATAAATCTGAGAGTGAGGACTGCCGTATTCTCGAGACTTTGCATACCTCCCAGATAACATTCTCGTTCCGTCGTTGAATGTCCAACCTAAATTTTGCCGTGATCCCTTGTAGGAGACCGTCCGGGATGGCGCCTACAACCACCATCGAAACCGTAACCATTGTTCGACCTTTGAAGGTAAATGTTTTTTGCAATTTTTTGCATGATTGCATGATGCCTTCATGATCGCTGCCTCTGTGCGTGTTTCCCGGAGCAGTGCTAAATTGGCGGGATTTCATGATTAATTCTAGCACCTTGAAGAAGGTCTCTGTAAAACTTGTATGCGGCATCTGTAGATGCGTACAGTAAAGTAAATAATGTATCGCAGAAATTCGTAGCATACATTCGTCCACTAATCGTCCTAATTATTTGGCTGATTTAATTATAGTTGAGCCACATGTATGTCCGGTTTGATTACTGCAATGCTTTTTCTTTGAAAATATGTTGGTATTATGCTTTTATTCTTTTTTTTAACGCGAATGGGAGTCTTTCCGAGAAATGTTTTAGAGATTGAGCTGCTGGAAAAGTTAGTCCTGTATTCGTGGTTATTTACGCATGTTCTGAACGGTTCTTTCTTCGCTCTTTTGGTATTTGTTTATTTTTATGTCCACTCTGCGTGGAATGAATTTAGAGCGTGTCTCGGTTTGACCTTTTCGAAGTGTGGCTCGCCAGATGCTTCTTGATAATTTAAAAAATCAAATTCTGTGAACCGAAGAATATAAATGGGTCTAGTTCTGAACGGAAAATTGTCTCACTTGATCAAGTCAATGGAGAAACCAGGTCGAAGTGATGACGATGACGTTTTGATGGCTTCGAAGAGTTTACTTCATACCTTGTTCACTATTCGTGAAGTGTGAAAATTTTCATTGTACTTGTGATTTCAGTAGAAGCTTTGATGAACTGCTTCGTTCGTCTTGTTTCCATTCACGTTAATCCGTGCGTCGAAATTACGTTGGAGGAGTACATTTGTGTGCATTGATGAGATAAATGCGCTAACAATATATTGCTGTAGAATATAAGGTATGGTTAAAAAAAAAAGGTTAGCGTGCAGTATCTCAAGTCTGTCATGGATGCGCTTCTATTTATAAATGGCTTGGCTTATTTCTTTTCGTTCGAGCCATGAAAAATTATTCAAGCCTTGTATCTACTGCTTTTCTTGTGAGTAACCCATTCAGAATAATGTACCCTGTTGTGAAAAGGCCTCCTTGCAGAGTTCGAGGGGCAGCGTTATTCTGAACCTTACAACAAATGGGCAGTGATACACAATTCAGCGGTTCTGTTTGTAAGACTGACGAGCACTTATGGGGTTTGCATGGTACTGTATCATTTTCCTGTTTCCAAACTGTATGCTGTTCAATATAACCCGTCTACTTGTATATGTATTAGGGTTGGTTCGAAAGTTGTGTGTACACTTCCTTTCATCATGATGTCTCCGAAAATAAATTAATATCCTGGAAGTGCCTGATATAATATTATAGTTTCCTTATGCAGTACTAAATTACATATTATTATTGCAGTATTTAATTATAACGACGAACGCTACATATTGTAATGTAATTATCTCCGGACCTTTCTCCCGCCTCGGTTGGAATCAAGAAAAGATAAGAGTTGCATTTGCAGCCCTCCGCGAAGCTGAGTGTTTAAATCTGCCCTGCCCTTTTAATTGGCCAATATTTGAAGTAGTACTCCCAAACACATTGTAAACTAGTTTCAAGAACACTGACTTGGACTGTTGACAGTTTAAGATTCACCTGATTTCGTTTCATTTTGAGCGTAGTTTGATTTCTGGGTTTTTCAAGTAGAAAATTTGTTCAAGTTGCCAGAGAGGACGTCGGATATAATTATAATAATGAGGAGCTGATTTATGAGGTAATGCAGGTCACCATAAATCACCATAAATCCGAGAAGCCATGGTGCAGTACATCAAAGTACAATATTAAAAAAAATCTTTACAAGTGGCTCCAGCATTTACACGCCATAAGTTATTTTTCATAAAAATCTGGAAGCGAAACGAATTTTTTATTACAGTATATGAAAAACAAATCCGATTTTTTATAGTGTAGCGTACCGTACTTCGTTGCTGCCCATTCATCATGATATCCATGTTTTGTGCCGCTGAGTCTCATGCGATTCAAAGGGATAGAGGGACAGAAGCCTGTTTTTGACACACACAGACTAAGGCCTGTTGTGCTACTCCCAGTCGTGAAAGCCTGATTTTGCAGTTGAAGGCTTGTTTGGGAGAGGGTGGGGTTGGAAGGGGAACAAAAGCATCCCCCTGAAGCTTGTAGAGAAAGCTGGAGGGGTCAGGTTTAAAGGTGTCCTCGTCTTGAATTCCGTGAACCCTGTGCTGCTTGCTCCACTATCCTTTTGGTTTCTGCACTTTTAATGCAACATGCTGACGTACAGTATTTGCTTATAGTTCTAACGTTTTTTTCATGATTGAATGTTTAAAATTAAATTTGACGAACTCTGTAACTTCTTTATCGGGATTGTGGGTTAACATCGTCCCGTGTGCTTCGTTACGTTCAATCCCATTCACGAGAAATGCGCGTTTGTTGTCATGCGTTGATATTTATTTGCAAATATCAAAATGACTTCGGATCAGCTGTTCAATACCAATAGTGATTGTGTTTTCGAAACCGTGCAGTATTTTGTGTGCTGCTTCCGACTGCCGAGCAAATGGAAATAACGTCCAAGGTATACTCTTCAATAAACGGCTTGCGGTGAAGTCTCGTGTTGAAGCATGTGCAGTACTGTATTTGCGTGGTAGACCTTTTTTGTGGCAATTTTTAATTTTGTTTCCGCCGTTCTTTTCACAACCGACCTGATGTCGGTTTTTCAAGATTGCTAGCTACTGAGCTGCATCTTTCTGATTTCCTGATGGAGACTTTCATTTTTTGCGATGAAGACGGCATTTTTTGATGAGTAATCATAGCCTTCCTTTATGTGTAAGATAATTTTTTTGATGACCTGACTGTCGTGAATGCTATAATATATCCTCTTGAAGTTGATGTAGGTTTACGTGAAGTACCGTAAATTGCTCGCGTCTGTATGCAAGAAATCCAAACTTTTTACTGGTGGTCCCCAATCTTGAAAAAGGTGACAAGTGTTTTTGGCTTGCATCGGTTGTAATTTCATGTTTCTGTTACATGTTTAATTCCGGAATGTTCTAATTTTTTGATGATTGCAACAGGTGATAGCCTTCATCTGTGGCGTCATAGTGATGCTGTTACTCGTGCTGAGCCTGGCATCATCAGAATGGCTATTGGCGCAAGGTTGGAGACAAGGATTATTCAAACACTGTGTTTCCCCTGATGCGATTCACCCATTGCCTTTTGGGTGGTTATCCACGGAAGCTGGTTGCTTTCGGGTCCCCTTTCGAAGTGAGTTTTGCGTTTAAAAATTTTTCAATATTGTATCTTCCGTTGAACTGTATGTACAGTATATTGTACTATTTTATCGATTGTCGAGGTGCTATTCTTCAAATAACTGTAACCTCTCAGATCCCTGAATTTGGTGTTACAGGCATTTTTTGAATTTTATGAATAATTAAATACTTTCTTTTGGATGAGATTTGGTTATTTTTGCTCTGCTGAGTGACTGGAAACCCTTGTTCCGAAATTCAGAAACTTTCGCCGAATGTTAGAAGAATCTTCTTTTCAGCCTGGAATGTCCTAAAAAATTCTTTCTGGAACCCCTCAGACTCAAGAATTTGGTGTTGCAGAAATTTATTAAATTGTTTCAGGATTAAAATACGTTTGCCTGGGCGAGGTTCGGTTATGTTTGCTCTGCTTCATTGTTTTGGCAACCCGTACCCAGAAATTTCACAAAGCGGCGCCGAACTTTAAAACTAAAAGAACCTTCCGTTTCAGCCTTAAATTTGCTGACTAAGTTCATTTCTCTGTATTTCAGCGTATATTATTGCCTGCTCCATCATGTTCATATTTGCCCTGCTGCTGGACGCTTTTGGCACATTATTGACTGGTTTGGGACTGTGGTCTCAAGATAGTACCCGGAAATACAAGTACTATAAGATCGCCTTGTATGTCATGACTGCTGCTTGTACGTAATTATTTATTTATTTTACTACGGTGTGGTAAAACCTTATACTGTATGTTGGGTAGAGAACTATGGTGGGAACAACAAAAATCGTTGTTGAGAGAGAGATTGTAACTGTACAGTATTTGCTGTGAACATCAAGATGGAGAAAGGATAACAAAAACTTTTTACGTGTTCGCAGTGATCTTGGTTCTGATGGCGTTGGTACTGTACCCAATTTGCTTTGGGATCGAGATGAGATTCGGCAACCGGGATTTATGGGAGTTCGGCTGGGCATATGGAGTTGGCTGGGGTGCTTCCATCTTTCTTTTTGGCGGAATTGTGCTGCTGCTAGTAGACAAAGAATCAGAAGAGATATACTACAAAGAGCGCACGATCATTCAGGATATTCCTGGATCAGAAACCATGTCAGCCACGAAGGAATGAATAGTTTCCCCGGAATTTTTTGAGAAACCAATGTGAGAACAGTGTCAGCAGGAACTTGACGAAGAGGGAGTGATTTTGTATCAGGTGAAAGGGAAAGAGCGAAGGCTGCCATTTTTATTTAGATTCTCCGAAAGGAAAGGATTTGATTTGATGCAGTATTTGAAAGAACCACCTTTTTTGTGTAAGGACAAACTTGTAAAATACGGCTTGAGTGAGGTCTGGGTTTTCATTTCAGGGTTTTCTTCGCTATCACTAATTTTATTTTACATCTGCGGCGAGATTTATTTTATAACTAAATTTTCCTGGTTATTTGTAAAATACTTGTACTGTTCCTTCTGTTGATACGCCACAATTTTTCATTTTTTTCACATCCAAGAAGTATTTATTTCAATTTTTGCTGTTTCAATATCAGTAATTCAACGGACAAGACCAAACGTTGGCAGCTTACGACACCGAAAATTATGTTGTGATAGTGGAAAAGCTGGCTTACTTTTAGAAAAGACTTGATGTCTGCCTTATCCGTCCTTATTAGGGGAAAGTCCTCTGGGAAAAAATCTACAAACTTAATGTCTAGTCACTCTTTGATGTCTTGTAGTGTGTTTCTGTGGAAATTTTCTCATGTATCGTGTCTGGAATCTGACCATGGAATCTCTTCTGCCTGGAACAAAGGAAGTGTGTGCTTGAGTTGAAGAAAGCTTTCAGTGACGTAAATGATGCATTTTTATGACGGAAAAATTAGTGAATGTGTATCGGGAAGCTGGGAAGGGCAGGTAGTTCTTTTGTTTGTTTGTTTGAGGAAAAGCCGTCCTGAGTGGTGTACGTCGAATCAGCTAGTGTTGTCTTCCGTTCGCGGTGCTAGTTTGTAGAAGGAAAAATACTTATTGTAATTGACCAGAAGCAATACAGAAGATTGCAATCTTATCTCCTATGTGATTTATGCGTTTCTCTTGGTGCTTGTGTGCAGTATGCAAATGGGATGCGATTTCAAGCCGTATCTTGGAAACATTTGCGCGATACGGTCAGAATAATACGAAGAATTATATTGTATGTTGATGTGAATCGGAAAAAGTCACCTTGGAAAACCCGAGCAGGACGAATGTGCACGATGTCGAGGGTACCCCTCATTCAATAGCATACAAGTACTGTAAATGAAATGGTTCGCAAATTATTTGTCACCGCGTCACAAATTTGATGAAAGAAATTATGGCGATAAGGAAACTTTCTGAAATTACGGCATACGAACTAGCTTTGACAACTTTTCATTGTGAAGATTTTGGGCGTTACAGTGAGTTGCGTGACGAAAGTCGTTCAAAATATTTTATGAAGGTGTCGCTCCTCGTTAGAAAGCCATGTATGATAAGTGCTGTATGAATAATCCGTTGTACACAAATACACAGGTGCAGCACTGCAGTGTAATGTAAGATAGCTATGTCCAGGGATGGCTAACATTCTCAATTGTCCAATTAAATGCATTTTTCAATAAAATACTGTACTAAATGTAAATGCACAACCTGAATTCCCTCAATCTCACCTCGGGAAGACCTAATTTTCTTAGCGTCTTGGAAATCCGAGTAAGAATAAATATAAGTCCGCAATTTTTTCATTATCCGGTGCCTGCAACAGTACGGTATTTCAAATAGCTGTAACCATATTATTCATTCCCTCGCAGTTTTCCAAACTTAGAGCAGTTTAAGAATCCTGGTTCGTCCTACCAACTTTCACAGCAGGTCCTTGAATACCATAATGCAGTTCCATGGAGAACATTTTATCATTACATCACAATATCCACTTTTTTTTTTTTTTTTTTCAAACGACGATGATGGCAAAATTTGAATGTAAAATAGATCTGCGGTTCACAAGTTCAGAATATCCATTAAAAACGTACGCACTATGCAGTATTGAGATTGAAATGAAGTAAATTATCCGAAAAGAATTTTGCTTTTCTTTTGAATACTGTCGTGTAGCTGATTCTGTTAATATTTTTTTGTTGTACAGTGGTTAAAAATTAAATCCTTCATTTTCTGAACGTTTCAAACCGAAAAGGGAATGGGATACTGTACTAATTTTGAATGAAAAATTGACCGCACGAATAAGCTTTCCAAACAATTAAATAATACTGCACAAGAATAATGTAAATACTTCGAAGTCTCTTTCAGCATGAAAACGGGAGAAGCATGTGGAAAACGTTCCTCCGGAGAAGTTTTTAAGAATATTTATGATGGTACTGGATGATTATAATTAAGAAGCATCACGTTCAAGCTAAATCAGACTTTACTGTGAGGCTGAAATCATTGAATAACTTTTGAAAAGTCTCTCCAAAATTGTCGCGACGACCACTCTGAAAATTAAATAGAATTGGCTATCTGGATTCATATCAAGGTCTTCATTTCGAAGTCTGGCGTATTTCCAAACTTCTATACTAGCTGAAGGCCGCATGTGAAAAGTAGATCAGTATTTTTGCTGTTGTGTTCCTGCATTTACAATCTCTTTGGCAATCCTGCTGAGTTTTAGATGCGTGAGCTTTCATTTTTGAAGTGCCTGTCGAGTGCCAAATAGTAATTCACTCAGATAACGTATCTTCATTTCCTGAACAATATTGTTTTATCACTTTTATGCCTCCAAACATTTGAACCTGAAGCAATTTTCTCGCCAGATCTAATGGAGTCTCTTGTTAAGAAACCACATTTATTTTTATGACTCCATTTATCTTGATGAGCAATACATTCGAAGTGATTTATAGTAGTTGATGAAGTTCGCTCTGTCGTATGGCTCGAACGCACTCTTTATATGCCATGCATTTTCTGATGTCCCTTTTTTTGTACTGATTAAAATTCTGGTCAGGCCCCAGCAAAATCCGAATGCCGTACAACGCAAAATGAATTCAAGGTTATTTCTTTCTTCCCAAAATGTTTCTTCGGTGTTGCGTTCTTTGAAATCTCTCGACCGAACTTCAGCTGAAGAAAAGCAGCAAGAATTGCAATATTAAATCGGTACAATTTTTGAGAAAAACGTTCGGATATTCTCAAGTACATTACTCTAAGTCTCTATATTATAGCTTTGTGTTCAACATTTTACATGATATAAATGCTCCGGTGTTCAAATCCAATTCTGAGAACGGCACGTTTGCCATGGAAAAAGCTAATTTACGTGATATTGAACAAATTCTCCTAATTTTCTTCTTCAAAGCTTTGGGATTAATTATTGATACTGTATTTTGAATAAATCTTTGCTAAAATACTGTGTTGTACTGTATATACAATATTTATGTTTGACCATATCTCCACAGAAGAGATTGTGAAAATGACTAATTAGATTTTTGTCCTAACTTATGCAGAGAAGTATTTGAAAAATTCCTCAGAAAAATATCTAAAGCCAAGGCAAAAAAATTTTATGTGATCTGTAAAATAATATTAAAAACACAAATTCTGAAGTTACAGCTCGTTTTGACATGATTGCTGTATGGATTGCAATGCAACGAAACATCGAAAAACGCATCTTTGGGAATTAATCTGTGACACTTTCCTTCAAATGCTGGTTACCTTGCTTATTGTTTATTCATCGCACAGGTACTTTTTTCATTTTTCGGATATACAGTAGTGTACAATGGAAACCACTTAACCGCGATTGAAGAGCCTGGGTTTTCTTTTCCAGTTCTTTTTTCTTTTTTTATATAATTTAAATATATGCATTTTCCAAGTTGACCTCCTCCGGGATTCATGGAGCATGACGGAGCACAGCTGGTCTACCTTGAAAGAAGTACCGTGCAGGAAAGTACTGTGCAGAAACCTACTCTACTGCAATTTATTTTTCCGGACTGGTTCAATAAATTTTTTTTAATAACCAATAATTAGTTCCATTTGTCTTTCATGACAGCTTGTGCATGGGTGAGTCCATATAGACACCGCAGAAAGTACTTCGTATTTCCTTCAGTCAAAGGTACAATAACACCTTTATTCCGCTCTCATTTTTGTGCATACATCAAAAAAGGTATTGAAATATTTTTTTGATAACTTTGAGATTTTCATTTTCCATTGCATGGATGTTTTTTATAAATCAGCGCCATACCCGCGGAAATATATTGTCTTTTTTTTTTAGAAAAATTTTGAGAATTCAAACATTTCAAATATAGTATTTTCTCAATTTTTCGATTATAATCCAATTCAATCTAGGCATTGGCTATATCACTGTAAAAAATAATTTGATTAATTTTGATAAGTTGTTTCGTTGCATGTGTCACCGCGCCTCACGCTGTGTTAAGCAGACATTTTTCATGCATGAAATTGATCCGCAACTTTGAGTAACATACTTGTTTAATGTTTAACAAGTACAGTATCCTGTATACAGAGAGACCCCGACCCGACATCAGACAGACGCCCCAAAATTCGAAAGGTTCGACTTATAGGGAGACGCTGGAAACATTAAAAAAATCTGCTCCGACATCCGGTCAAATTCTCGAGATATGGACACTTTTCTGACGTCTCTAGAAGAACGAAAACCTTTTCGTCTTAAAAATTTGGATACGTCTTGAACGAAACAAAAATTAAAATACATTTCATCACAAATTTACTTCATGATCAAAGCAGGCTATACTGTATAATTTTGTGCTTCTTTCTTCAGAGTTTTTCCCCGTCATCCGTGCGTAGTACAGGAAACCGAGACTTGCGCTGTTTACTTCTGATGCTCATTTTGATGCAAAAAAAAATCAGATTTCGTGTGGTTTTCTTCTGCTCAGACTTTTTCGGTATCTTGAAGGTGAGAACACAATTTCAATTTTCGGGGGACTCGAAATTTCTGATGAACCAGTATGAAGAACCAGCAACTAAATAAGTTCCCATTGAAGTGTATGCAGTGAAAGCGTGGTTCGACATGCGGACGCTCCTATATACATATATACAGTGAGACTCCCACATGCAGACAATTCAACATAGGGACACTTATTTTCCCAATAAAAAAGGCCCAACAGGAGGACACTGGCTCAACATAGTCAGTATTTTGTGATAAAATTGGAAATAAGTTTTGTGCTGCCAAATTACAATAAGAAACAGATACTTCCAACACTAAAATTGATGTTAGAAAAGATCTTGGGCATTTCTCCCACCAATTTACCATCCATTTAGCTAATTTAAAAAATTACCTTCAGCAAGGTGGGACTTCCTTCTCTCTTTTTCACTTGAATGTTATTTTTACAGAGAATGTCAACATTTATATGTATTGTACTGAGGTATCCGTGTTCAATTTTCCAAATGTCCATGTTGTGTTGAAATATATTGATTGAATCAGTTTAAATTTGGAGAATTTTTATTTTCATGGAATTATGGTGAGTATTTTGTCAATGAAACACCGATTAAAAATTATATAATGTAAGTCTAAGCACTCTAAGGGAAAATGAGACTCAACTTGGGGAGATTTCAACTTGGGGACAATCTTTATGCATAAATTACGTTCGCAACTTGGGGTCACACACTACAGGCTTAGTACTGTACCTGTGTCCTGTATACACAGATGCATGCGTCTTTTTATTGCCGATAAGTTCAATAGTCTTGGAAACAAATGCGATTCGCATGATTGAAAACAATCGCTGGAATATAGCGCGGTGCGATGGATATAATCGCTCTCTAGCGGTACCTTCTCCAGAGTTCAGTCGCATCGTGGATCATGCTGAGTTATATAATATATAGTAAAACATTTTGAGCATCGTCAATAAACGGAATTGAAACAGTCTCCCATGAACTCTTGGCCGTAATATAGGCGGGGAATCCGATCGCAGAGTCGTGGGTACTCATATGTTTCTTCTCCAGTTTACAACTTATATATAGGAGGGTTGTTTCATAAGTATTGAGAATTTTTCAAAAACTTTTTCAAAAAGTAAATCCAACGCAGAGATGATGTATTCAATAAAAAAAAAAGATACACTTGCATGTATAGAGCCATAA